AACATATGCGTAGCATTTATTTTTGAAGTGCATTCTGCTTCATATTGATCGATTATTAATTACCACCCAATGCAAAGACAAAGGAGGCTATTTATTATGACTTTGTGTATACATACATACATTTTATAAAGGATTCATATCCAACTATGTTGGATGTTTGACCATCCTAAACCAATGTTGCAATTTAAAAATAATCCTTTTCTTATTAATTCTACCGTATACTTTCTTATTTATTTATTTCTTATTTTGTAATATTAAAAATAATCTTAATGCAATAATTTAATATACAATCTATAGATAGATAGACACTATAATTACAATATACTACTACCATTTAAATTTATTCTTCGTCATCTACTAAATCTACCAAGTAATTAACTTTTTTTACAGTTCTTAAGTTTCTTTTTTTAGTCATAATTTCTGTTTCATGTGGCTCGATATAATCGTAATCATCGTCATCCACCATTTCGATTATTTTTCTTTTACTGCTCGTGGCTGTTATATTATTCAATTTAAATTCATCGTCTTCAACTTTCAACTTGGATCTTCCTTTATTTGCTTTTTTAGTTGTAGTTTTTGTTTCATGTAGTTCAATGTAATCGGTATCATCATCATCAACAGTTTCAATCACTTTACTTTTGCTGCTCGTGGCCGTTGTATGATTCAATTTAAATTCATCATCTTTAGCTTTCAATTTGGATTTTCCTTTGTTTGCCTTTTTAATTGTGGTCTTTTGTTCAGTGTAATCTTTGTCGCTGCTATCAACATCATCCATAATATTCTCGATTTTTTCCTCAGTGTAATTATTGTCACGGTCATCAATGTCAATACTATTCAATTTATTACTATTGTAAAAAATCTATCAACCTTAGTTTGTTTTGACTTGGATTTTCTGTTATCAGCCAGATTTTTTGTGGTTTTTGTGGTCTTGGTGATATTAGTAGAAGTTGATATATTTTCTTGATTAGCATTCACGAACTCATCCCATGCCGCTTCGAGATCCTTGAGCCATAAATATTGAATGCTCATTTCTGAAATTATTTTCATTCAGAATATAGAGACTTCTCTTTATTTTCATATTTGTCCACTTCTTCTCTACTAAAGCCCAAACATGTAAGCTTCATAAGGTATTCATACCCTTTGGTGTTTCTGTTGGTATCGGTACCCTCAGACGAATTTTCTTCAGACTGCGCATCATATATTTTCTCAAATTTATGGGATTCAAGAAGTTTTACGATTTCCGCCTTCTTTAATCCTTCAAATTTTAACATTGGGTCAAGCTTCATATAAATAAACTCTCCATTATACTGATTTGTTTCTGCAAATCTTTAATCAAGTGATTCTATAAAATAGATTAAAATATTGTTAAAAAATCAAATAAAATTATATTAATAATAAACATACTTTTCTTTTGACATAAAGCTTCAAACGTTCATGGTAAAACTCTTTTATGATGTCTTCTGGAGAGTCATACTTTGCAAGTTTATTGTTTGGGTCGAAACACATCATATTGGATGTTGCCAGAGCAGTTGTTAATTGGAATGTCTTTAAGTCCCTCTTTCTCTGCCTTTTCCATTTGCTCAACAGTTAATTCAATTTCAAGATCCACCATTTCATTAGTGCAAAATTGTTTCTAGAAATGTTCCTGATTGTGTTGTTTTCTCTGAAATCATTTAGAGTTTTAGATTTGTAATCCTCGGTCCACTTGTGAATTGGTAGTTCTGATATTACAACATGCATATCATTTTTTTTGGAAATTATTCCATATTAATATGATGTGTATTTATTGTGCCCGGTTTGTTTGATCTTTCCATAAAATCTGTGATACCAAGGATGCATCGAGATCATCTCTTCGCCTTTGATCTTTCTTCTCAAATTGTGAATAATGTCCTTGGGATTGAAATTAGGAATACTGGTGCTCCAACCTGTTCCTATACCTTCTGCACCATTGACCAGCACCATTGGAATGATAGGAACATACCATTTTGGTTCAATTTTCATACCACCTTCACTCAAATATTTAACAAAACATCATCATCTGGGTGATAAATCAGCCTAGCAAAGTTTGAAAGTTTTGTTTTGAAGTAACGAGCAGCAGCAGCAGCAGCTTTTTTACCACCATCATTTCTATTTCCGAACATTCCTATTGGTTCTAGCAAATTGATATTATTGGATCCTACAGAATCTTGTGTAGGGGTTGGCACCACGCAAAAATTCTTTAACCGGTTAATTAGTTAAAATTAAGAGTTAACCAGTTAATTTAGTCACGTGGAATTTTTTAACTGGTAAATTCGATCGTTCATTACTTACAAAATAATCACGCGCCTGTTG